TTTGGTTAAAATGGTCCTCATTTAGCAATTTCACTGTCGCAAACACCTGGAGCAAAGCACACTCATAATTAAAGAGTTTGGGGGAGTTAAAGTGAGAAGTGATGGACAGAGATCTCCACGTTCTCCCATTTATTCTTGCTTCTGAGCTATTGTTTGTGTCAGAAGGGATATTGATTTTCTATAAAAATAAGAAAACAAGAGGCACCAAGGGGCCGCAGAAGGTCAGTCTGGACTGGAGAAGGCGGGGGGAGGTTTAGCACTCTATCTCTGTCACTTGCCTTCCAGGAGAGGGGAATATTTTCTTTCCTGTGAGGCCGGCCCCTAATACATCACTTTAGGAAGGCTCCTGACTGTGACTTCAGGCCATCACCAAACCAATCTACTTCCAAGAGAAAAACAAGCTAACTATATTCAAAGGGAATAAACAAATGATGTGTTGGTAACAAACACAGCAAAACTGGGCTATGAATTGCTGAATGAATAGCTCTGATATAAACAATTTGAGTAAAATTTAGTCGAAAAGTAATTTTACAAAAGTGTTGTTCCCTTTTAGAATATGGAAACACAGATCACAGGAAAATAATAAAGTAACTGTTTACTCTTTATACAATCATAAAAATAACTCTTTACACCATTATTTTCAATTTTCTAGGACTCTTGAGGAATCAGTTAATACAGAATTGAAGAAAGGAGAGAAAAACAAAAAGAATTCCTGGCTAAGCTTAACAACTACTACATGCTTAGATAAAAAGGACTAAGTTGGAACAAACTGGAAATAGCTCTATGAGGACTTTCCTGAACAAACTCTGAAGTCATGAGACGGGAAAGAGACAGCCCTAACTGTGCAAGGAGGGCTCCTTCATACAGAAAGAATGAGAGCCTCTTCAGAATTCTGATCCACTTCAAATCATTCCAGTTTACAGGTACCAACACAGAAAACAAAACCCACTGCCATTAAGTCAATTCCAACTCACAGCAACTTTCCACTGGGTTCCCAAAGTTATCAGTCTATATGGGAGGAGACTGCTCACCTTTCTCCAGTGAAGCAACTAAGTTTTCAATTAGCAGCCCTACATATATACACTATAGCTGGTGAGGACTCCTTTATAGCTAGCTATCTAGAATTATAATTTCACAACCTGGTTGTAATGTGTAATAGAGAAGGAATAGGAGAGACTGGAGTACCTTCCTAAAAAAAGCCATGTTTTGCATGTGCAACCATGCTTGAGAATGAGAGCGAAAGAGTGTTCTCACCTTAAAGCAGACAGAGTTAAGAGTCTCCCTGGGGGCATATTTGTGTGCACATGGAGGTAGGGGACAGAGAAAGGGAAGAAGGAATGGAGAGAGGGGGGAAAGGGTGGGGGGAGAGAAAGGGAGAGAGGGAAAAGGAAAGGAGGGGAGAGAGAGAGGAAAGAGAGGAGAGAGGAGAGAAAAGAGAGATGGGAGAAGGTAAGGGAGAGAATTACAGCAGTTTATCAAGACATACTGGGAAAGAAACATACACAAGGATCCTGCCAAAAAGCTATTTTTAAAATTATCATTCTCAATAATGAGATTAGTATGTCTGGAAGTAACTAATCAAATATCAATGCCTAGAGAGAGAGTTTCAATATTATGAAAAGCTACAAAAAGTTGACTGTGTCTTATGTGATTGCAAACAACACGATGAAGAAAAAAGACATTCGGAATCCCAGAGGATACAGAGAACTCTACGAGAGCTGGGACTCGAAATGACTGCTGTGTTTTTCCAGGTATCACAAATTGTCACCTTTGGCAGCGAATAATCTTAGCACTCTTCTATTCTTGTTTAGGAGTAAAAATGTGCACTGTCCTTTTTCTGACAGGTTTCCACCTCACACAGGTTCCAACATTTGCCAGCTTTACTGTGTATAGAAATCAGGTAAACAAGCACCTGAATATACAGTAGAGGAAATTAGAAAAATCAAAACACGAGCCTACCTATAATTGTGCAAATAATTAAAGTATATAAAGTTTATAAAGAAAAATAAAAAAGTTAGGTTAAAAATCATCCATGACAGGGCAGGCAGGCAGGCAGACCTCAACAGCTTTTCAAGCTATTGGCACAGCCTTACCTTGGAGTGCATATGAGATTTATGTCTTTGTTTTTAAGACAAACTTCAGTAGAACCAAAGTCCTAAGAGGTCATATGTTCTCTGGTTATAAAATCTGAGACAGAAAAAGGATCAAAGAAAAATAGTGTTTAAAAGGCAGCAAAGTCTGGTGTTAAGTAAGCACTTTGGAACCAGGTTTGCATCCCAGTTTTGGCACTGGGCAACCTTGGGGAATTTAAACTTCCTCTAAGAGGCAAATGGAGATACCTACCACCCATACACAGTGTAGTCATGAACATTAAGCAATGTTAAGCATGTAGTACAGGGTGGTAACATGTTAACTAGCACACATAGTCTCTGACTTATGACATATTTGAGGTATAATGAACTGCATTTAAAAGTGATCTGGGGGTTTTGTTCATATTTTCTTTTTGGTACACATAGCTTAACATCAAGAAGACAAAGATTCTCACCAATGGCCCAACTGGCAGCGCCATGATGGATGGAGAAGATACTGAAGTTGCTAATTTCTGCTTTCTCGGCTCCACAATCAACACTCTTGGCACCAGTAGTCAGGAAATCAAAAGACAAATTGCACTGGGGAAGTCGGATGACAGGGACCTCTCCAAAGTGCTAAAGAGCAGTAATATCAATCTAGAGACTAAGATGTACCTGGTTCAGGCCATGGTTTTTGCAATTACTTGATGTGCATCAGAGAGCTGGACAATGACTAAGGATGACAGAAGAAGAATTCATGTCAGTAGCCAGGAGAGACCAGTCCTTGGAAAAGGACATCATGCTTGGAAGAATGGAGGGAAAGCACAGAAGAGAAAGACTCGGGATTTGGTGAGTGGAGCAGTGGGATTAAGTGTGTCAGTCAGTGACACTGGCTGAGAATAGGGCAGGGTTCCGAGCTATTGTATATAAGGTTGCTAAGAGCCACAGGTGACTCGATGACACATAACAACATTACTAATCACATGTACTATTGAAACTTGACAGCAAAGTTATACTATGTAAGCATATTGATATTAAAGTTAGTGAAAACCTAAAAAAAACAAGGTATTCAATTATGTCAGAACTGACCACAAGTCAGGGACAACCTAGACAATAAAACTTGTGGAAGCCAGAACTGTGGAAGGTGAAATCTGTCAGAGAAGGAAAAACGCAAGTATTTTTCAATAAGGAGTGATCAAAAAGTGCTCAGATCATGTCCTGTCAAAGGTAAAAAAAATTGTGACAGTCAGAAAAACAAGGCAGTTCCAGCAAATTCTAGTTCTCGAAGTTTCACTGTATTAATAAGAACAAAACAGACTGTTTCTCGACCAGAAGTCCTCAACCTCCCGAAGGTGCATTCATGAGGGAAATCAGGGTTTACACAACGAATAAGAGGGGAAGAGGAGGAACAATGTAGATGCTAAACATACTGCACCATATGGGAGAAGCCCTCAATCCAAAGAACTGTCCCCTGAGAGGAATCACACCCTCATGGAAAAACAAATCAGAGGTGAATATTAATAATAATACAGAAGTAGTAGCTCAGAGTATCAATATAATCATTATGATTGAAATCATTATTCAAAACTACACCAACACTTGTGAACTTAGAGAAAGGACAATAGTTACAGAACAAGGTTAAATAAAGTCTTTTGTTTATAGGGGTCAGTACTAGATGGCATTTAACAACAATATATAACGCCAAGCCTGTCTTCCATTTTGGACTTGGATGAAGTGGCTGGACTCTGTAAGATAGTGCTCTTGTTTTGGTTGAGGATCTGTATGGACTGTTTTTGTTTTTATTTAAGCCTCTTGTTTAGAATCAACAAGACCTCTAGGATGACATCTGCATTTAAGGCCAAAACCTTGTCTCCATTTTGGAGATCGGGTGAAATGACTAAGAAGGGCTGTCTTGTTTTGGCTGAGGGTCACTGTGGAATGTTTGGTTGTTTTTTATTTAAGCCTCCTCTTTAGAGTCCACAAGACCTCCGGGTGGGCCCTTCACCCTTGTATTTAAATGTTGGACTTCAGGGATTATCTTTTAATCCCTTGTTACTGTATTTTGGAGGAACATTTTTCTAAGTCGTACAGCACTCCTGTCAATTTGCTGTGCTGAGGTAATGCAGGTTTGCTGTGTTGAATGAAACTTTTTCCATTGGGTTCTCAAATGCCATAATGGCTGCACATTGTGGACAGTGTTTGGTGGAGCTCCCAGTTTTAAGGCAGGTGTGGAAGCAGGAGTGGCATCCACTTCCTAAACCAAATGCCTATGGAAACTTTATGAACTTGGAGAAATGACAGTTATAGAAAGGCCATAAAAAAGGGGGCCTCAGGTTTTTGCTCATAGAGTCGCTATGTTACTACTCAAAGGCAATCAACACCACCACCAACACTTTAAACATATATCCATGAGAGAGGAATTTTTTGCAGGTCTAACAGTAATGGGACTCAGTGCTGTGATCTCAAAGCCTGGTCTCTGACAATTTGACTGCAGGACATAAAATATTAACTCATCTTAAATCAAATTAGACACAGCAGAGAAAAGAATTCACGAAAGTATATAATGGAATAATTCTTCCTGGGGAAAGGCAGCTTAATCGGGAGCCTGGCAACCAGACATTTTCTCTCTCATCAGCTTCTGCTGAGACCCTAGTTCTACATGGCAAAAATAGCAGCAAATTATTTTTTAAATTCTTGGTGAAACATAGGAGATACATATTTTAAACTATTTCTAAAAATATGTTTCTATCCCCTATAACCTCCTTGAATTCATTGATAGCACTTGATAAAAATCCAGAGATAGACAATTCGATTAGTTAACAGAGGCTACAGAGTCAGTAAGGTAGTGGTGGGTTTGGAAGAAGTCTGGCTCATTATTTGCACCCTGGGTGAAGTTACAGGGACAAGCTGTAGGGACAAAGAAGATCTTACCATTCCGACATGTTCTCATCCGAGCCCTGCTTTGATTCATCTGCTTCGCACTCCATTCTCTCTTTCCTTCCAGTTTGGCTCAGGAAAGTCCTGTTTTCTGCTGATTCGCACAGCCCATGGCCTGCCGAGGTCCAGGGAGTATTTTCCTTCCAGCGAGACAAACGCTGCTTCTTAGCAGACTTGAACCTGCAGCCCCTCTCGTAGCTCCAATCTGACACCTTGAGCTTCTGCTGGAGGCTGGCAGCCACCTCAGAGGTCACTCGCTTCACCTTCCGACGGCGCCTGAGTGGTCGACAAGGTGCATTTTCAGTAAATGAATCGGATTCATGCCAGGAATGTTGCTTACTCTTAACAACAGAGTTGAGAGCTGGGTGCCGTTTGGCTACCATGGTGTCATCAGAGTCACTAAAATTGGTGACTGGAGCCATTTCTCGACAGTCCTTAACGACTTCGTCCAGGCTTGACTCGGAGGCCTCACTGTAGCAGCAGGTATGCTCAGCCAGGTGAGTGAAGTCTGAGCGGCGCTTCCGGCCCCTCCGCTTGCGAAGCTGCCTCCTCTGCTGCCGGGGGCTGAGGGCCATTTCCTCCCACAGCTCACCAAGCTTACTCTGCTCAGATGTCTGCTCCAAGGCTGAGGCCAAGTCATGTACCAGCTCATCCATGAGGCCACATCTGCCGAGAGGAAGTGCAAAGAAAGAAAAAGAAAATCCTGAATAGGAATTGATGGGTTAGAGTAATTTTATAAAACAGATCTTAGCACTGCTGTGCCTACTCTGCCCGCAGAAAATAAAGTCCCCTTTTATCCAGCTACACTTTAACATTCTGTTCCTACCACACATATTCCCCTAAGTCACTAAAAATAGGGATCTGGCCCTTGCGAAATGCCCAAAGTCAACATGCTCTCAACCACAAAAACGCAAACACTCACCAAGTGACGACAGGGATATTAGCAAAAAGAAAAAAAAAAACACGCAAACATACTCAGGGGAATAGCTCTTTCCCCTTCTTCACCAATTAACTTATAAATGAATTACACACTAATGAGAGCCCAAAAAGATCAGAGACTATCTCCCTGAGCAGGAAAGGAAAAGCATACAATTTCAAAACCAGGGTGAGGTGAGGGAACCACGGGGTAAGGTCCCATCTCACGATGGTATTAAGAAAGGACAAAGGACTGACTCTTCCAATCTGCTGTCACTGGTGATAAGGCACATGGCAGTAACAAAAAGACAATTCAGACTATTTCATTTAGACAATTAAGACTACTGCATATGCTGAGTGAACTAACTCAGTCCCACAAGGACAAATAATGTATGAAACCATTACCAGAGAATGAGAATAGAGGTGGTGGTGAGGGGGTGGAAATAGAGGGGTGAAGAGGGAGGGTAGGGTATTAATCATAGGGTTGCACAATTTGATGGGTGGGTAGGGTGAAGGAAATGGGAAGGATCTTTTGTGAAAAACACTGTTTTCAAACTTTGTAAATAAATCAGAATACAATTGTTAAAACATTTAAAAAAATAAAAATAAGGGGGGAAAAACTACTTGCACTTTTGTGATCCAAAATCTTGGAGTGACTCAGGTTTGTACTAAGAATGGAAAAAAGAGCCCGATCGATGTTTACACCAATTCTGAGCCATACTACCAGCTAGCTCTAAGATGAATTGGTACAGTACATGGGCTCAAGCATATCAGAGATGATGAGGATGGCAACAGGATAGGGTAAGGTTTAGATCGCTGTTCACAGGGTCACTATGAGTTACCGACAGCTCGGCGAGGCCTAACATCAACAGCAACCACCGAATAGTTATATATAAGTATAATTGTTTTTGTTGTTATATGCCATCGAATTACTCATAGTGACCATATGTACAGCAGCTCTGAACCCTGCCCTGTCCTGAACCAGTCTCACTAATTTGGACACACCAACTCCCATTGCCCCAGTTACTGTATCAATCCATTTCATTGGGGGGGGGGCCTTCCTCTCCAGCAATGTCGCTCCACCGTTTCAAGCATGATGTCCTTCTCCAAGGATCAATCTCTCCTGGCCACGTGCCCACAGTATGTGAGACAGAACTTCAAAATCCTAGCCTCCAAGAATAAACTTGGTTTCACCCTCTCCAAGACTGGCTCCAGCTCATAGCCACTCTACACTAGAGCAAATGAATGTCATACATATTTTTAATAATTAACAACTTATTTTTCCTCATCTCTCAAAAAAACAAATTAATCAACCTAATTAAATGCTTTTTAGTGTCCCACAAACACACAAAAACAGGAACTTACTGAACCTGACAGGGGTGGGCTAGAGCCCGTGTCCGATGACCCAGTAAGCACTGGCTGGCCTGTGCTTGCTTATTCATTTATTGCAAACAATTTCACAATTTTTTTTTTCACCAAATCAAAGATGTGACTTCTTTGGGTTAGCAGCTGAGAGTTTTAACCAGTCGGCTGTAACTTGGTATTGTTAAAGATTCTACATCTAAGCAGAGCTGGCACCTGGCTCTCTCCCAATCCTACAGCACCTTCCTACACAGTCAATGCCTCCTTCCAGATTTACAATCTCTAGCAGGGATGGCACTCCCAGTAAGCAAGGTAAATGTGCTGGAAAATGTGAAACTGTTCACTACAGACTCCTAAGAAAGCACAAGGAGGTCCACCCTTGTCGGCTGGGTAAGCTGCCCCTGGATGGAGCCTCTACGGTTTCTGGCTAACTGCTTTCCAAAATATCCTATTTTTCCACTCATTCTCATCAAACCACCATGCTTCAAGGGTCACTTTAGAGTCAGCCTTCAAGAGATGAGAGCAGCATGAGTCATTTTCAAAATTCCCTTTTAATAGGAAGTGTCAAACATAATTTCTCTAATACCTACTTAGAATGCCTATTAAATTATCTTGTTTTCCCTACCTCTCCTTAAACTCAATTTCAGGACCATTAGCTAGAACTTAAAACCATGCCTGGCACCTCTCTCAAACCCTCTTTCCATTCATACCGTTTCTATTTTGCAAAAAGCTTTCTAAGACCTACTTTTCATGCTGTACCTAGGCCAATGGACTCAAAGGCAGGAAAAGAGACTTATCCTCCACATCTACTGGATGGATGAGAACATCTAGATCCCCAATCACCAGCCAAAACTTCTCTAAGTGTCAAAAGCTACACGCATCAAGACTAAATCCTCATTGGAAACAGAAAGTCCTTTACAACGTCATGATTTGCATTCGAGAGACAACTGTTCCTAAAACTCAAATAAGCCAGAGAAGTGAGAGCTGCTTGCCTTTAAGTAACCACTACTTCAAAAACTCAGGCCCAACCGTGCATTCTAATAGAATGCCTGTTCACAAGGCTTTCCTGCCTCAAAAACAATGCAAACAGGACGTGACAAAAAGCGAACCCTCTCACTTCCAGGTCCACGCAGGCTCTGGGAGGACCCACCCCGCCTCCCCCAGACCCCCGGTGTTAGCAGATCCACAGGGAGGGGGGTGAGCTCGAGTGAGTCACGCACAGGAACAGGAAGCCGATGGGCAGCAAGGGACAAGACAGGGAGATGCAGGGTTCAGGGAGGTGGGGACGCAGGGGCAACTTGTCATCGGGCTCACCAGGGACAGGGATCAGCCCTTCTAGTTCACAAACTGCCAAAACGCAAGTTCTGGAGGCTACCCTGAACTTGCTCTGTATGGCGATGGCAACATGGCCACATATAAGAGGAAACGAGTTTTCGGGGACTCTTCCCCACTCCCTAAGGGAACAGGGCGACCACGGCTCGGGACACCCAATTCTCACGCGATCGCTGGCCCGCTGGTAGTAAAAGGAGAAGGGGCAAGAGCTATCTCCCCGAAACGGCCTTATCCTCACTCCCCGGGACGGGGGCGATGGGCCCTGAAAAGGCAGGCCCCGCCACCACCGCCCCTCCCGCTGGACGCCGCAGCCCCATGACACTCCCTCGCTGCGCAGTGGCGTCCTGGGGTCAGGATCCCCGTCCGTGCAGGTCCCCTAAACCCTGACCCACTTATCCCACTCCTTCTCCTACCAGCTGCCACAACCACCTCCTCCCGCCGCCGCTTCTCCGGACGAGTCTCCCCGCCGGGGTTTCCCTCTCTGACCTCATTTCCGGTCTGAGCCGGAGGGGTGGAGCCGCAGGCTAGTGGGAGGTGCCGTCGTGGGCAAAAAAGGACCGCCCCGCTGAGGAGCTTCCGCCCGCTGGCCACGCCTACTTCCGCCCCGCTAGGGGTGGGCTCTAGGGTTTCCTAGTGATGGTAGAGGACTCTCCCCTGGTAGTGGTTGGAGATGAGGACTCCATAGTAGTAGTTGTTGTTGTTGTGTGCCGTCGAGTCACCGGGGACTCATAGCGACCCTATGAACAATAGCCCTGAAACCTACGCTATCCCGTGCCAATCTTACTGTCTCTGACACTCTTACCCCCTTTACCCCAGTTAATGAATCAATCCATCTCATCCAAGGTCTTCCTTACTTGCACTGTTCTTCCACTCTTCCATGCATGATGTCCCTCTCCAAGGACTGGTCTTTCCTTGCACCATGTCCAAAGTATGTCAGACTAAGCGACAGAATCTTTGCCTTCAAGGAGCAGCCTGGTTTCACCCTTTCTAGGTAGAACCTGTTTGTTCTCCTAGCAGTCCATAGTATATTCAACAATCTTCTCCAACACAGACATCTATTCTCTATCATCCTTAGTCATTGTCCAGCATTCTGACGCCTAGCAAGTAATTGAGAAGACTATGGCCTGGATCAGTCACACCTTAGTCTCCAGACTGACATCATTGCTCTTCAGTACTCTGGAGAGGTCCCTGACTGCAGACTTTCCCAGTATAATTCATCTTTTTATTTCCTGGCTGTTGGTACCAAGAGTATTGATTGTGAAACCAAGCGAACTAAAGCTGTTGACAATCTCAGTCTCTTCACCATCTATCATAATGCAGCCAATCAGCCCAGTGGTGAGAATCTTTGAGTTCTTGATAATGAGCTTCAGTCCTTGACTTTCTGCAGCAAGCGCTTCAGAACCTCCTCCGTTTCAGCAAGCAGAGTTTTGTCATCTGCCTAACGCAAGTTGTTGATGAGTCTTCCGCCAATCCTGATGCCACATTCCTCCTCATACAGCCCAGCTTCCTAGATGATCTATTCTGCACATAGATTGAAAAGGTATGGAGATCCCTAGCATACAGCCTCCCTATTTTGAACCATGCAGTGTTTCCTTGCTCTGTTCTGACAACTGCCTCCTGGTCCAAGTATAGGTTTCGCAAAAGCACAAGGAAGTGTTCTGTGATTCCAATTCTTCTCAGAGTTAGCTACAGTTTGTTGTGATCCACACAGTCAAATGCCTTTGCTTAGTCAACACAACACAGATAGACATGCCTCTGGTATTCTCTGCTTTCAGCCAAGATCCACTTAACCTTAGCTATGCCTCTTCTAATGTAACCTGCATATCTGACAGTTTTCTGTTGATATGCTGCTGGTCCAGTCATTTTGGATAATCTTAATTGTGGTGTTTATACCAGAGCTAAAATATCAGTCTGAGGAAAGACCCCCAGAGACGCAGTCTCATCTTTGTTAGAGATGTCAGGAAAATGGGCATTAGAGAGGGCATCAGCCACACCCTAGCTTGCTTTCTTGTTGTTGTTTATCATCAAATCAGAACTGACCAATAGCTGACCCACCGATGAATTTTCAGAGACAGTAAATTATAGAGGAGACTGCCCCTCTTTCTCCCGCAGAGCAGCTGGTAGATTCAAACTGTGCCTTTGGGTTGGCAGCAAAACTCTTTACCACTCATTTTAAGTTGTTGTATAAAACTGAGTCAGAATCAACGAATAGTTAACCCTCCAGTTGTTTTTTCAGAGAGAAGCAGTAAATCGCATTGGAGGAGATGGCTCATCTTTATCCCATGGAGCAGCTAGTGGATTTGAACCTCATCCCTTCACATTGGCAGCGCAGCTCCTTACCACTAGGCCACCAGGGCTCTCTACTTACTTAAAACTCATCTCTATCTACTCATAGCTGACCTTCCCTTAGGTTCCGGGGCTGTAAATCACAGGAAGGCGAGTCCCTGACATCCTCACAAACAGAGCTGCCAGTGGGTTGAAAGCATGGCCTTTGGGTTAGCTGTCTTCAAACTACACCAAAACTGACATCTTGGTGATACAGTAGTTAAAGTGTTAGACTGTGAATAAAAAATTATTTCTTCTAGCCCATCAGCTGGAAAAAAAAAAGAAATGTAGCATCTGCTTCTATCAAGATTTACATCCTTTGAGATCTTAGTCAGAACTGACTCATAGCTCACATGCCCATAGGTTTTCAGGCACGTTAAATCACACAAGAGGAGATTGCCCATCCTTCTCTTCCAGAGCAGAGGTGGATTCAAACCTCTTGTCTTTGGGATTGCAGCACACTTCTTACCACCAGAGTTATATTTGAGGCCTTAAAGGACAGTTACATTTTGTCCTGTAGAATCACTATGAGTGAGAACCAATCCCATGGCAGGAGGTTTAGTTCTAAATTGAGGAATAGGGTGGGAACGGGTCTTCTCATCCTCGACTACAGGAGTTGTTACAAGGAACCATATAAAATAATAAAGTGGGAGGGGGACATATTCTCTAAACAGAAAAAAATAAAATACTTTCTCAGAGAAATAATAAGAATTATTACAACCTACAGTGAGAATCCCTTTGCAGAAACTTGCTCAGCATTAACATTAAATATACTTTAAGGAATGATTACTAAAAAAAAAATAAAACACTGCATTTATAACTCAAAGTTTAAAAATATATAACAATAAGGCCCTATTAATATTAAAAATGATTGGACAAATAAATGAGGCAGAAGAGACATATTCCCAGTGCAACATTACAAATAATATCAATAAGTGCTTATGTGAAACCTATACTTGGACCTAGAGGCAGTCGTCAGAACAGAGCAAGGAGACACGGCAAGGCTCAAAATTCGAAAGTGGGTCCGCCAGGGATGTATTCTGTCTCCATACCTTTTCAATCTGTATGCAGAACAGATCATCCGGACTCTGGTCTGTACAAGGAGGAATGTGGCATCAAGATTGGTGGAAGATTCATCAACAACCTGCGTTATGCAGATGACACAACCCTGCTTGCTGAAACTGAGGAGGATCGCATGCTGCAGAAAGTTGAAGACTGAAGCCTTCAATACAGATTGAAGGTCAACATCAAGAAAACAAAGATTCTCACCACTGGGCCAATTGGCAGCATCAGTTTGGACTGTGAAGAGATTGAGATAGTTAACAGTTTTAGTTTGCTTGGCTCCACAGTCAACAGTCTTGGTACCAGCAGCTAGGAAATCAAGAGAGGAATTGCATTGAGAAAGTCAGTTGTAAGGGACCTCTCCAGAGTACTGAACAGCAATGATGTCAGGCTGGAGACAGGTGTGCCTGATCTGTGCTATAATCTTCGCAATTGTATGCTATGCATCAGAGAACTGGACAGTGACTAGGGATGATAGAAAGAGAATTGATGCCTTTGAGCTGTGGTGCTGGAAAAGAGTGTTGAATATACCATGGGCTGCTAGGGGAACAAACAGGTTTGTCCTGGAGAGGGTGAAGCCGGGCTACTCCTTGTAGTCCAGGATTCTGAAGCTTCGTCTGACATACTTTGGGCATGTTCCAGGAAGGGACCAGTCCTTGGAGAGGGAGATTATGTTTGGGAGAGTACAGGGACAGTGCAGGAGAGGAAGACCCTCAATGAGATGGATCGATTCAGTGATTGCACTAGTGGGAGTAGGTGTGTTAGAGACAGTGAAGTTGGCATAGGATAGAGCAGAGTTTAGGGCTCTTGTACATAGGGTTGCTATGAGTCACAAGTGACTCCACAGCACATAACAACCACAATAACAACAATAACTCTATTTCTTGTACTAAATGATACATTGTGATTTCCATCTAAATACGGTATTATCAACAATGAATGAATTTTTTTTTAAAGTGAACTGGAGGGGTAGAGAGGAAAATGAACACTATTGAATGAATGGGAACCCAACTTTTCTGTAAACTTTTGTTAAAATCAATTTTTTTTTAAAAAATACTGTATTAAAAGGGGAAGGTGGATAATTGTATAGTGGTGGTGACAGACAGAACACAGCTAGGTGATCATAGTCAATATCAATAGTGAGAAGTCAAGTCATTAGTATACAGCTTGGATCTTACATTATGAGAATGGCACAGCCAAGAGAAGTCTAAGGAATAAACTTAAGGTCTCGGGATAGGAAAAGGACATTAGGTAAAACTAAGGAAATATGTGTAAAAAATAACTTTACCTCAAGCAGTATAAAGTTCTCCCTCTTCAGAGTAGTCCCTCTTACACTCTTATCACTTTTTACCATCTCTGTTCCTTAACTCTTTGGAAACAGAGACTCACATTTATCTATGAGCCATGTCCAGCTTTTTCTACGTAGGAGGTTTTCTGTGAACAATCAATCATGAGATATGTAGGTAGATAGATAGATAGATAGATAGATAGATAGATAGATAGATAGATAGACAGATGACAGACAGATCAATCCTCTGGTGGCCTAGTGGTAGGGAGTTGTACTGACAGCCGAACGTTACATGGTTAGAACCCACCAGCTGCGCAATAGGAGAACGATGGACCATTCCCTCCCAAGTGATTTCTAGCCTCTGTAAACCCACTGGAACATCAACTATGAGTCAGTACCAACTCAATGGCATGTAACAACAAAATAGATGATAGACTGTGTGTGTGTGTGTGTGTGTGTGTGTGTGTGTGTGTGTGTGTGTGTATGGAGGGACATGTTTTATGTGTAAAAAAAATTGCCAGAGTAATTTCTGAGGATGAAAATTAGATGCAAGTATACAGTATACACAGGAAGACTTCCTGATTACTTTTAAAGAGCTTTTCTGTTTGTACTTTTGTTCTTGTTATGTGCTCTTGAGGCAACTACAATCCATACTGATCCTATAACAAAGGATCTGACCCCTGCACTATTTTGCACCATCCTCATCAGTTCTCATGTACTTGAGCCCATTGTTACTGTAAACCCATCTTATTGGGGATCTTTGTCTCTTACGCTGACCCCTCACATTTCCAAGTATGATGTC